TACACGGGAAGCTTGCCGAAATTTTCCAACATGCTTAAAATTTTCGCCGAGCGAAATATGAGTGGCCGAGTCTATAACTCGCTCGGGGACAACTCGAGGAGTGTCAGAAATAGCTCGGCGTGCAAAGTTACATACGTTGCCGAGTGACAGTGACAGGTCGACGAGATCTGAATGGTAGCCATGTAAGGCGTGTTAAATTTCATACTCTGCGGGTTAAACCAGAGCTCGCTGTGTAAAAATCTTGCAAGGGGAGTCTGAGTTACTCAAGCACGGAGTGCAAAAGTGACACCACGAGCATGTAACTACTTACTGTTGCCAGGTATCGAAGAGTGACAGCCAGCTTGATGTCAGATTCCAGTGACTGCCTCCAGAAAGTGTTTGCCTTGTGGATGGTGGGGGCAATTTTCTCCAGTAGTTCTTGGAAAAACTCTAGAGAAGCTCTGAGGAGTTTCCTGAAGGATGCCACATCTTCAACTTGCAGTTCAGCCATCGGTTTCTCAAACTGTCCTAGGTTCTTATGAGCCATTGTCAAACCCAACAGGTCCTCCTCCTCCTCCTCTTCCCCCTATTCCAAAACTTCTCCTCTTTATGTACCAACACAACAGCAAGGGCATCATTATTATGTATAAATCAAGTATACATCCATTGTCTGTGCCATAATAGACATGTTGAAGGATGAGCACAAACATTTTGCCCCCTCTTTATATGTTATAACATTGCTCGCCGACTAACTCGGCGACGGGTCGGCAAGATGGGTCAGCTTGGACGGCAAGTTTGTCGGGTATGAAATTTTACTCGGCCGCTGCGTTTCTTGGCTCTCCAAGTGGCCAGGATTCAAACTAATTACTCAGCGAGACGCTCGGTGATTTGCTCGTCGTCCTAAATTAATGCCCGGCGAGCGTCTCCACGAGTGCTCACCAACCCAATAATGTCAACAGCCATATGCTTGTCACAATTAAACCCGAATTTGGCCTTATCTTATCAAGAATTGCTCCTCGACTCTATTCCTGTATGTGTGAACACCGCATAAGATTGCGACAAGTTCACGATTTCGGAGGTGATGTCTCACCACTAGACTAACCTACGTATACGACACGTTCACGAATTCGGTAGTCCTGTTTAACAATTAGACTAATGACACCACGGTCACACAGAACTGCCCTCTCTGTTTTGCAGGGGTCCAAGGCAACGACCGAGAGGAATCAGCTTTCCAAACGAGAATAAAAAGTCACTTCATGTAAATACTTTGTTATAATATTGAACCTTCTTCGTGTTCTGAATTTACTGTACGCTCTACCTGACGCACGTTCGCAATCTCTGCTCTCTGTCGGGACGCAGGTGGCTCCTTGGTTAAAACAAACCCCACACACTCTCTAATCTAATGCTTGGAACAACGAAAACAAGAGGAAATGAGTTGCGGGG